TCCTTTGCCCACCGCGTCCCAGGAAACATATGACATTTTCGTAAATAGCACTGTTTGCAGAAAAATACACCTAAACTGATACAGTGACGCATAAAACGAGACTGCGCTTCACAGAAATCCTACGGCCATATTTGTCAAAGATCCATTCGACGGAACGCAAAATTAAGCAACTCATACAAAGAACACATGCGTCAATTTATATGTGCCGAATCAGCTAAAGGTATTGTATCGACTGAGATCGAAGGATGAAATTTGGTTTTATATGAGTCTCTCGATGTTCACATTTTCTGCGCTTCCGTCCAGTGTTTTTGTGACCGAAATCTGATCACACATGGAATCGATCATTGAAAATGTTGCCTAGAGGATGACGGAACTCGATCTTAGTCCTACATTTGCGTAGTACTCAAAATAGCTCAAAATTAGACAAGGACAAGCAATGGGAACATACATTCAATCGATAGCAGATCACAGGTCGTTGCCTGGAATGGGCTAGCAAAGGTAAACATCGCTTGAAGGGGGTTTATTTCTGAACAGCAATTCATTTACTCCATGGTGAAAAAAATTCACATCATACAGGCCTGTAAATTTTGACTTGGAATTGTTTACCAACTTAAGGTGACCATAAACAGCATAAACAACAGTCTTTGCGTTCTTTTCGTAAAACCTCGAACCAATTTATCACTCAGACCTGTTTTACCTGGATCACACACATCAGTAAGCGTTGCGCAACTCCTTCGAATCTCGAACGACAATGAAAGTCGTACCAATGCTGAAGCGGTTTAAGTCGACAGGATTTTCCGTACTTACAGAAATTCTGTGAAGCTAATAGTGAACACTTAAGCAACCAAGAGGGCGGTTAAATAACACATGCACCCAAGGCTGAAAGCAAACAGTAAAATGTCATAGTCTGATGCAACGACATACTAAGAAGGGTACCAATTCGTTGACTTAAATATTCAAACATCGCTGTCAACTTCTGCGCATTTCTGTTATGCTTAAGCATCTAAACTTCAAAGACGTAGAAGAGAGCTAATGTCTGTCAGTCACAGGTTGTAGCCTCCCTCCTTGACATCGCTCCGCAATCTAATTAATCACTACTTTGAGCTGCCTTATCTTAGGGATCTTAAATAGGAGATGTTCGTCCTTACTGCATAGATGATCATCTAATGAGTGACAAAAATGTTTGACTTGGCAATATTCTAACTATTATGGACATTATGAACAAATATTCCACTTTTAAACGTCTCACAGAACCCCATAAATAGTCTCAGAATTATGAGAAAAATCCAAAATCTACAGCCAAGCTGACGATTTTCGATACGCTATATGAAAAAAATGTTTAACTAACAAATATGAATTCCACTTTAACACATTAGCATTTTGTTTATGACAATGCTCTCGAAGGCTGCTGTTTCACTCATCAAAGGAAAGAGTACCATTTGCCTTTAAAAAGTTCAAAAAGCCGCCGAAATTCAGACTACTAACTTAATGAAATTTGTCCCTCTGCTGTTTGGTCAGTGATAACGCAGATTATTCCAAACCAGTGATGATTCGCCAGAGTTTCAGTTTTCATGTGGTTTCGCTATCATATTTCAGTATGGAGATAGTTCTGAGTGCAAGAAACTGATCCCCGGAATTCACCTATCTCACATACTGTGCATAGCTGTTTGCAGACAGCAGCACACTGACACTATAAATTCAAGCCCACGTGCAAGTGGCAGCAAGCCGACAACGAACAACGCGGAGGATAGCAAGCTGAAGTGACGTGTGATTTTCCGAACGGCTACAATCACTAGTAAACCGTGTCATGAACCCCGAAACGATAAGCTAATGTTGGAATGATAGGTGAAGGCTGATAAGTCTGGCAATCCTGACGCCCTTCACCGACCCGCCTATCACTCAGTGACGCATTGCAACTAGTTCACTTAGTACGTTACCTCAACTTAATCAGATCACTCGGTAATACTCAACTTCATTTGTGGAAACTGTGCGTATAATAATTCACTGCAGCGAGCTCAAAGCGAAGCGATACGCGCTCGTTTATTTTAGAGCTTTCTGGCATTGATTTCTACTGTCAGCAGAGCAGAAGAACAACCTAAATGCACAGCCTGGCTGCCAATTTCAGTCGATATGCAGGAAAAACGAAGTCCACTGCTTTTAAGTAATGGCAGTGGTGAAAAGTTTCCTTCCTAAAAAAACTTGTTGCTAATATTTCTAAGAACCGAAAGTAAACGGAAGTGAAAACGACAAAACGAAAACGTCCTCAGCGTCTATCAGAAAAGTAACGCAGAAAAAAAAATAAACGAAATTAACAACAGGCTAACGGGTACTCTGTGTTTGGAGGATAAAACATTTCGCAAGTTGGGCAACAAACAACGGAATCGGCACTTAGTTTGCAGTGCTGCAATGAGAATACATGCAAATTCTTACTCGAAGGATTAGCCATCTTTCGGTGAGGGTAATCGCTTTGTGTCAACCGACATGAGAGGCAAATCTGCGTCAGACAGTAACCGAATTGAGTCGAGTCGTCGATCGTTCAGGCTTTACGAACTCTGCAGACGAAGAGCGGCGCTGGTCGTTTGGGGAGGATGGCACGCGTCGCAGGTCGGAAACCTCTGCCGCACTGAGGGCGTGTGTGAGGGTGCAGTCGTCTGTCGCAAGTCGAGGTCGCCGAGTGAGCGTCGCGGAAACCAGGACGCGGCACTCGTCTCACGAAGCGCTCCAGTTTGAGCGACGGCGGCTGCGACACGCGAAGTCGAGCGGAACCACGCCGCTGCGACAAAAGCGGTTTTTCGCATGATCTGTGACGCGAGGTTCGCGACACCAGATGTCTCTGTCTTCCTCGAGGAAACGTCGCAGAGGGATCTATGGTTCCCTTTCGTCCCATGCCGAACCACTGTTCTTTCCTGATTTGTCGAGATCGCTTCGGTGACGTGTTCCTTGATGTCAACAGAGGCACGCGTGCCTACGTCTAGGTCTTCGATAATAAGCCGACCTCACTAACGACGCGGCGTAGAAACAGCTGTTCATTCCCCACGGCGACGGTATCGTGTATTCGAAGATAGTATCATCAGTCACTGTCAACATTAAATGGAGGGAAGCCCGAATCGCCGCCAGCACCGCAACGCGCGCGGCTCAACACGACGTCGCTCGTGTCATCTTTTACTCATCTTTGTTAGACTATTACTTTGGATAGGTGACCAGCTGCTGGCGAAGCAGTGAAAAACACTACACACTGACACTGATCCTGTCGATCATGCTGAAAAGACGGTTTCTCGGATAAAATATAGGACAAATTCTCAATCGGGCCCTTTCCTAGTTTTCCCCAGAGGTATGAAGAACAAAATTTTTCTTCAATACTACTTCAGTTTCTGATTCTTGCCTTTTTTGTCCCGATTTTTGTCTGCATGGATGTGCGGCATTCTCTTTGCAACTCGGACCACTTCTGGGTCTGCAATGTTTTCCGCAACTTTTACCTTGCACTGTTAACGTTGCCAACAGAAAGTTTCTAACATAACGCTTTTTTAGAAAATCACACTCTGAAGTACGTTTTACATAACTATAGGCCTTATCCTTCGGAAAGTCAAATGACGTTATCTGTCAAATCCATTGCAATTTTCGTAATACCATTTATGAAAATGACGGCACAGAATCAAGTCTGTTAGATGACAGACCAACACGAAGTTTCGGCCTCTGTCGAAAGGGCCATTCCTCAACGTAAATATGACTCATGCTAGA